AGTAAATGGGATAGTTGGGTATAGTGTTTAAGGCATTATGCTAGAATCCGGGAGGGTGAGTTCTAATTGTCTCTTAGGTACAAAGCCAATTGGATAATCTTGGTTAAGTCATTCCCTATCGGTCCTTGGAAGAAGGCAAGGGCAAATCACTTCCAAAATTGTGCCAAGAAAACTGCAGGGAGTCCAAGGAATCACCAGGAGTCAAAAAGTGATTTGAAGGCATCCCCTCCCCCCCCCCAAAAAGGAGGGAGCAAGGATGGTAGTCTAACATTCAGATTTACTTGATGTAGAATACTATAATTGAAATAGGATTGTAAATAGCATTCTTTTAAAAAAGAGAGAGAAGGTGATGAGGGAGCCACTCCTAAGTCTTCCCATTGAAGGAAAATCTGCCTGCTCTAGAGTAAAGCAGTATCCTGAATGGTTCTGCATCTTGTCGGCTGTTTGGCCACAATCTCCATTTTTTGTGTGATTCCAAGATACTAGCTCTCTTGGCAGAACTTTATCTATATCTCCAAAATAGGATAAGAGCTTTAGAATGAATGGAGTTCTTTGTTAACCGTCTACAAGAACCCAAAAAATCACAGTAGAACCAGTAAAGCAATAACAATAGCAACAAAATAATAAGGCATGGGAATGCTGACAATAAACAGTAGAACCAAGGTAAAAGAATAATTGTTTTATAATAGGGACTACAAGGTCATAAAAAGGGAGGGTTTTTTCGTACACAATAATCTGGATTTTGCAATATTTAAAAGATTATATTTTTCTTGATGGACAGTTAAGTACTGTAGTGAAAATTGAATCTGAGTGGCCCTTGACTAAATAGTTATAAAATCAGCATAAACAGTCTTATAAAAAGCACTATTTATTGATAGATCATGTTGATGTACTTGGCAAACCCTAACATTTGCCATCTGCCAATTGTGAATTTTGCTGGAGCCAATATTGTTGCGTCGGCACGTTGCCCTGAAAACGGAGCTGCCTCGTCCTAATTGGTCACATTATTCCTTTTGTTTCTGCAGTTCCTGATTGGTTAGAGCGATTCTGACAGCAGCTATGTAAGAGCTGTCAGGCATTTTCTTTTGTTGTTGTTGTTACTGGGTTACGTTCATTACTCAATAAGGTTCTCTGCCGCCCGTGTTGCCTCAGTAATTACCACCCTCGCTAATTTAATACTGGCGACGAGGATGGGATATTGAGGCGCATGGTTATTGGAGTCCTGAGGAAGGGGCCGATTCGTTGAGGGAGCTTGCTGGAAAGTGAATTTTAACAAACAACAGTTTAAGAGCACTATACAAATGGCTCCGCCCATGTTTGCCCCGTTTAACACCGCCGCCGAAACCTGGGATGCCTACGAAGAGAAGTTTGAATGTTTTTTGGAGGCAAATGACTATACTGATTTGTCTAGCAGCCGTAAACGGGCACATTTCTTAAACGCTTGTGGCCCTGAGATCTTTGCGACAGCCCGAGCTTTAGTAGCACCCCAGCCAGTCCACACAATTCCTTGGGATGTCCTGAAGGAAAAGTTAAGAGGCCACTATTCTCTGGTTCCGTCCCGCATAGCCCGCCGTTTCAAATTAAGGCAGATACTACAAGAGGAGGGAGAACCAATTAACCGATATGTGGCTCGCCTCAGGACTGCTGCTCTTGACTGCAAATTCAGGGAGTTAGAGGATGCCTTGCTGGAACAATTAGTTTGTAGGGTGCGTGATATCGATTTTAAAAAAAGGCTCTTGGCAAAGAAGAGCTTAGACCTCCAAACAGCTGTGGAAGAAGCCCAGGCAGTGGAGATGTCTGATAAATCTATCACGGACATACACCGGTTTCAAACCGAAATGAGTCAGCCTGCAGCCATTCATTTCCAGGAAGTAAATTCTGATGAGGCCACAGATGATGAGGCAGATGTCAGCCGCCTCCGGGCATCTGCCCCCCGTCCAAAGGGACTGACCAGAAAAAAGAATCCACCGGCATTGTGCCTCAGTTGTGGAGATGATCACCCCTGCTCCACTTGTCGTTTCCGCACGGCCACCTGCCGCCGTTGTGGGAAGCAAGGATATATCGCATGGGTCTGCCGCTCGGGAAATCAGTCTACTACTGGCCGAAAGTATAACCGTGCTGTTGGCGGATCAACTCCAATTAACAAAGATTGTTTTGCCATTACCCGCAGCCGCCGGGTCACTGAAGTGACTGCACATCCCAGAAGTCCAGCCCAATCCGCCAAGCTCCTTATGAATGTCAAAATTGAAGGTGCAACCTGCCAGATGGAGGTGGACACCGGATCATCTAAGTCGATCATTTCCTGGTCCACCATGAAGAAACTGCTGCCCAACCTGCGGAAAAGCAGCCTACGGCCCTGCCCCATTCATTTTAGAGATTATCAGGGGAATCACATTCCCATTGTTGGGCATGGCTGATTTTTAGTAGAGAAGGATGGGTTCACTGGCCACCTTCCCTTGATAGTCATAGACGGAGCCCTCCCCAGTCTTTTAGGGTTGGATTGGTTTGGCTCTCTGGGGTTGGGTATTACTGGGATCCACTCCACAGCCATGGCAGATATTGACGCACTTTACACTGAGTTTGCTGATGTGTTCAACAAATCCCTGGGTAAATATGTTGAGTCCCTGATCTCCCTAAATCTAGACCCTCAGGTAGCCCCTATTAGGCTCAAGCCCCGGCGTGTCCCATTTGCCTTGCGCCCAAAGGTGGACGCAGAATTAGACAAGTTTATTAGCCAAGGGGTGTTAGAACCTACTGACCACTCCTGATGGGAGACCCCAATAGTAATTCCTATAAAACCAGATGGCTCGATTCGTATCTGTGGCGATTTTAAATGTACACTAAATAAGGCGTTACAAGCCCATCCCTACCCTGTACCAGTAATTCAGCATTTGCTCCATTCCCTAGGGCCGGGTTCAATTTTTGCTAAGCTGGATTTAGCCCAGGCTTACCAGCAGCTCCTGGTGGATGATGCATCGGCGGAGGCTCAAACAATTGTGACACACCGGGGAGCCTTTAAATGCCGACGTCTACAGTTTGGCATTAGCATAGCCCCAGGTCTTTTCCAAAATTTAATGGAGCGTTTATTACATGGCCTGCCTGGAGTCATCCCCTATTTCGATGATGTGCTCATCTCCGCTTCTTGCCGGAATGAGCTCATTGATCGTGTTTGGTCTGTCTTATTACATTTTAGGAAGTCTGGTCTTAAATTAAAGAAAACTAAATGTGCAATTGGTGTCCCCAGGGTGGAATTCCTAGGCTACCTGGTGGATGCCTCTGGAATTCACCCTACCCCTTCCAAGGTGGCCGCTATTAAACTTGCTTCTATGCCCACCTGTAAATCTGATTTACAGGCTTTCCTGGGCCTTTTAAATTTCTATAGTGTATTCTTGCCACATAAGGCTACGGTGGCTGAGCCTCTTCACAGATTGCTGGATAAATCCGCACCTTGGTCCTGGGGGGCTAAGGAATCCCGTTCTTTCCAGGCTGTGAAAGACTTGCTCACCTCTTCAGCTGTCCTAGTGCAGTATAATCCAGACCTTCCCCTTGTCCTGACAGCTGATGCGTCCCCGTTCGGCATAGGGGCTGAATTGAGCTATAGGCTCCCAAATGGGTTGGAACCTCTGATTGAGTTCTACTCGAGGACGTTGTCCTCTACGGAACGCAATTACAACCAGTTGGACCGGGAGGCATTAGCGGCTGTGGCCTCAATCAAACGTTTCCATGATTATGTGTATGGTCAACCGTTTGAGTTGGTGATGGACCATCAGCCACTATTGGGTCTGTTGGCTGGGGACCGGCAAACTCCTCTAATTCTGTCACCCCGGATGTCCCATTGGGCGGTCTTTTTAGCAGCCTATTCGTATACCTTAGTTTACTGCCCCAGGAAATTGATACCGCACGCAGACGCTCTCAGCCGTTGCCCTTTGCCCATCTCTATCCTCGATCCCGCCCCAGCCCCCACCGTTCTCTTAATAGATGAGCTTAACCCCTTCTTAATAGCTACAGACATCGCCGTTCATTCGCGGAAGGACCCCCTGTTCGCCCAAGTCATTGACTGTGTGACAAGAGGATGGCCTGTAGGGAAGGTGACCGAGCCTTATGTATCCTTTCGGATTCGGCAGCATGAATTGTCAGTCCAACGTGGTTGTTTGCTCTGGGGGAGTAGGGTGGTGATTCCCACCAAATTGCGACCCTCGGTTCTCAAGATGTTGCACGAAAGCCATCCTGGTATTATACGAATGAAGGGGTTGAGCCGGAGTTATGTCTGATGGCCGGGGATTGATAAGGACGTCACCAGTTTGGTCACGGAATGTCAAAAGTGTTAGCTATCCAGAGCTTCCACCCCAGCCTCTCCTCCAAGGGAATGGGAAGTTCCCAGGGCCCCATGGTCAAGGATTCATATAGATTTTGTGGGCCCTTATTTGGGCCACACTTTCCTTATAGAAGTGGACGCCTACTCTAGGTGGGTGGAACTGGAAACGATGCCTTCCACCACATCGGAGGCCATTATCAGGGTATTGTGCAGGTTGTTCTCCACACACGGCCTTCTGACATCCTGGTGTTGGATAATGGACCGCAGCTTACATCCGCTGCGTTCCAGTTATTCCTAGCCACTTTAGGTATCCGCCATGCCCAGGTAGCCCCTTTCCATCTGGCCAGGAATGGCCTGGCTGAAAGGGCAGTGAGGTCGGCCAAAGAAGCGTTGGCCAGGTTAGAACCAGTGGGGTGGCAGGAGCGGGTGTCCACCTATCTACTCGCGCAACATATAACCCCTTGCCCATCCACTAACCTAAGCCCTGTGGAACTGCTGATGGGCCATTGTCTATGGACTAGGTTAGACTGGCTGCACCCTTCATACATGCTCTTGGGCCCAAGACATACCGGTGGGGTTTCCAGGACATTCAATGAGGGAGGTCTGGTTTACGCCCGGAACTATGGGGGGATCCACGTTGGTTGCCGGGATAAGTGACCCAAGTAACGGGTCCCTGCTCTTACAGGGTTCAACTCGATGATGGAAGAACCTGGCAGCACCATGTGGACCAATTAAGAGAGCGAGCTACAACTAGTCTGCAGCCGATTGCGAGAGATGTACCGCGCCTGCCCCCGGAGAGATCCCCATTGTTTCTGAGGTCTGTTGCCGATCCTCCGCCCACCATAACAAACAACCCGCTGTTGGACTTATCTGGAGAAGTTACTCCTGCTGAATCCACGGTGGAAACCTCGCCTGACCCACCTACGGATCAGGAATCTGCGCCGCAAGCAGTTCCTACACCACGGCGATCTGAGCGAGTGCGCAGGTGCCCTGCTTACTTGCAGGATTACGCATGCGTCATCCAGGGGGGGAGGGGTGTTGCGTCGGCATGTTGCCCTGACAATGGAGCTGCCTCATCCTAATTGGTCACATTATTCCTTTTGTTTAAGTGGGAGTTTCTGCAGTTCCTGATTGGTTAGAGAGATTCTGATAGCAGCTATATAAGAGCTATCAGGCATTTTCTTCTGTTATTGTTGTTATTGGGTTATGTTCGTTACTCAATAAATGATGTTCTCTGCCGCCCGTGTTGCCTCAGTAATTACCACCCTTGCTAATTTAATACTTATTGATAGATCATGTTGATGTACTTGGCAAACCCTAACATTTGCCATCTGCCAATTGTGAATTTTGTTGGAGCCAATATAATGTAGCCGTCACAAGCAATCTTCTGAAGAGTATATTGCAGATCTAGGGCCCTTTATAGGCTTTTGTCATGAATTAGAACTATTGGTATATAAAACTAGAAGTATATGCCTTTCTCTATGAATTGTTTTCTTAAAAGGTACTACTTCTACGTCTTAACTCAGAGAAACAGCAGAGGGATAGCAAAACTGAGGAACAAACAACTCAGGCATATTTGAGAATTGTTGATGATGAAATTTTTAACAAATCTCAGTTTATCCCCAATAAACGTAAGTTCACAAACATAAGCCATGTTGCCAGGCAGTCAGTAATGTAAGAAGGTTAAATGAAAGGAGAAAGATCAAACTCTTCTCCAGCCTGATTCAGCCAATATTTATTTAATGATTTGTTTGGTTGGTTGTCAAATTTAGGAACCACCCATCTCATTCACTACTGCCCAGGGAAGCAGAGAAATAAATCAAGAATGAGAATATTTTCAATATATAGACTTCTGGGGCACTTGATATAGAAGTAAATGCTAGATGCCTCATGCAGCCAAATCTAACTTTTTCAAAAGATAATTAGGCTTTACCACCAGGATATTTAAAATGTTTCTAAAAAGTAGTGACACAACTGTTCACTTTTAAATTTGTGTTGGAAGCACTAAGGCGGTTCTGCATTGAAAGGATTAGCCAGTTACATCACTGTTGCCCGGGAGATGCCCGGTTGGGAGCTCCTTTCAAGGCCCACCGAAGTAATACCTATCTATCTACTTGTGAATGCAGGCTTTCTAACTGCTAGATGAGCAGGAGTTGGAGTGAATGATGAGAGCTCACCCATCACACAGCAGCACTCGGGTCTCAAACATGGTTGATTGTCAACCCAGCATCTTAACCACATGAGCTACCGCACTCCCACACACAACTTTTAAAAAACTACAGGTAAAACATGATTTTGAAAAAGAGCTTTAAAATAGGAGTAAGAACAGCTCACAAAGCCTTGAAAAGTTTTTCTTTAGAGTTTATAATAATCCTAAACAAGACAAGGAAGGGGAGTATTTAAATAAACCCAGAAAGACTTAGTAAGGTTCATGATATAATTTTCAAAAGATTATTGAAAAATACATTTCAGATAGAATGGGATGGGATGGGATCATAGGAAGTGTGCAAGTGGTAACCTAATATATATTATGAATATGTCTGCCCCCAATTCTGCTGTGATCATACTATAAAAGTTTCCCAGAAAGCTGGATCATCATAATCCTAATAATGAATCAAAATGGTTTTGAGCTAAACTAATCAGTCATAGTGTAATTTCTATTTTTATGGGCCACATTGACTCAAAGAAAAGATAAGATGATATTATGTACATTCCCTTCACAAAGCAATAAATCAGCCAATAATTTATATGCTGTCAGTACGTTTGCTACAAATGTAAAACTTGTTTCCTGGATATTGCTATGTAAGATGTTCTATTAGGCAATTTGAAGAAAATTAAGTTGTATCACAGGCTGCAACATCATCATATACATTTATAGCAATCAGCAGCTACCGGTATATTCTTTTTAAGACTCGGAGGACTCTGTCATGTATTCTAAAAGGAAAGGGAACCTTTATGGCTAGAAAATCAACTAGCGTTAAATTAAAAACAAATCATCTTCTGATTAATTCTTGCCTTGCTTGAAAATGTCAAATGCATTCCCCACCCATTTCCATCTAATAAAATAAATTCCAGCCACTGAGTAGAACTTCTGACCATGTTTATTCAGAAGCTTTCTATACTCCAGGTTCATTACCTGAAGGCAGAAATAAACCCTATTTGCTATATCCCCACTTGCATCTAACCAGACTGCAAATATGTTCTGGCAACACTTCCCCCCACCCCTTGCAATGTCTGCAGGATATTGCCTTCCTCTTGTTCACAGATCAAAACTGAGACAGACTTAAATCATCCTTTGCTGATCCCCTGCAACCTGCCACCCCATGAATGATGCTATGGGGAGCTTTACCATAGGCCACTGACTGCAGACTCATTTGCCTCCTGCAGGAAGGAAAGTGAACCTTCAGCCACCACTCTGTGGGGAAGAGGGGGTCTGTTTGGGGCCAGAATGTCTGCTTTTCCTCCCTTTAGTGGGGAGAGAATGACTTCCTGCTGCCAGTGCCCTGATCACTCTCGTATTAGGACTGGAGATCTGACAGCAGAGGTCCTAGAGAAGCCCTCCGTTGCTTTGTTGTTGACTCAAAAGAGATTTGAGGAGGGTGGGGCATAAGTCCTGATAGGCAGGAGAGTGACTACAGGGGATAATACCTTGGGGCACCTTTGGACAATGTTGAAAGAGGGGCAAAAATGCTAATTTAACAACTAAGGACAATTTAAGATTGTCTTACTCATAGGCTGGGGATAAAATGGAGATGATATTCCAAGAGCTTAGCAGAAAAAGGATCACATCATGTTTTGGTACCATGATGAGATCCAAGTGGGGAAAGGCCCTTGGTGTGCAGGCTGAAGGTTAAAACAGCCTCTGACATGCATCAAATCTCTCTTTCTCCCTTTCTGCCTTTCCCTTCTCTTCTAAAGGAAACAGGAGTCCTATGTGTCTATCACCACCTCCCAAGATGTGTCAGGCCTGGAAGCCATGTTCTGCATTGGACCTTCAGACCTGCCACATTTACTACTGTGGGAAATTGGGAGGGAGGATTATATGGAGCATGGGTGATATATAGTCATAATAACATTCCTTTCTCAGAGAGTCAAGGTCATCTTGCCCTGCCCCTGGAAGGCTGGAAATGGGAGGCATCTCCAGTTGGGGCGGTGCTTTGATTGGACCATGTGATGGACTTGTGGGTGTTGGGCAGAGACTTGCACTTTCCCTTGGGGGGGGAAAACTGGAAACTTTCAGATTCGGGTTTTCCCAGATATGTCAATATGACATCTCTAATAAAATGTAACTTTGAGGAAACTCAAGCCTCAGAGTTTTCTTTCATTGGGGGTGTTACTTGGAACACTGACAAGATGTATAAAGAGATCGCTCTGTTCTCATAATCTCTGATGAATAGCATTTTTTACGCCAAGAGGGAATTCAACTTCAAATGGTAGGGAGTTATCTAATATATAGTACTTAAAAAAGGAAGAAGAAAGAGAGAGAGACAGCAACATAGGTATTCCTCGATTTATGGCCACAATTAAGCCCAAAATGTCTGTTGTTAAGTGAGACATTTGTTAAGTGAGTTTTGCCCCATTTTACGATCTTTCTTGTCCCAGTTATTAAATCAATGACTGCAGTTGTTAAATGAGTGACATGGTTGTTAAGTGAACCTGGCTTCCTCATTGATTTTGCTTGCCAGAAGGTTGCAAAAGGGGATCACATGACCTTGAGACACAGCAATGGTCATAAGTAAGAACCAGTTGCCAAGCATCTGAATTTTGATCGCATGACTATGGGGATGCTGCAACAGTAGTAGGTGTGAAAAACGGTCACAAGTCACTTTTTTCAGTGCCATTGTAACCTTGAACCTTCAGTGTTGTTGTCACTAAATGAGCTGTTGTAAGTCGAGGACTACCTGTATCTTTTTTTTTCTCCTGATCTTGTATGTGGTCATTTGTGCATGAGTAACCTCTGCCTTAAGGAGGTTACTTACAACAACTCTGTGTATTGTACCCATTTTCTGTTTATATGACAGAAAATGCCATATCAGCTTAAGTGGATCTCCAGGTATAATGCCAATGAAAAATGGCAACCTAAGTATTTCGGAAACATTATATACAGATGATGCATCATCTCTACAGCCGAGAATTAATCCAGCAAGAGAAAAACAAACACTATATTCAAACACTGGCCCTCATTACTCTGAAATAATTACAGATTGTAAGTGTGCTGAGCAGCTGTTCTTTGCTCACTAGGAGTAATAACAATATAATCTTCAGGTCCTTAAAGGATGCTGCCTAGTGGGTTTAGGAAGTAGTGGACCCCAGGACACTTCAACCATCATAAATACTGTATGTATCAGTTGCCAAGAATCCAAATTTTGATCACGTGACCACAGGGATGCTGCAGTGGTCATAAAAGTGAAAAACAATCATAAGTCACTTTTTTTCAGTCCCATTGTAAGTAAGTTCAAACGGTCACTAATCAAACTGTTGAAAGTTGAGAACTAACTTTCTCTATTTCGTTGTGACTTCTGTGGCTTCAGAGTCTTTCCCTTCACTTCCCGTAGCTTAGTCTTAAGAATTCTAGGCAGCTGCTGGTTGGAAAACTGACCATAGTTATCAGCGGTAGGTTCTACTTACCTTTACTACCGGTTCGCAGCGGGGCCGCGCGCATGCACAGAAACGTTTTGGTGATGTCAGGGTCAGTGAGCGGGGCCTCCCACCAGTTTTACTACCGGTTCTATAGAACCGGTGCGAACCGGGGGCAACCCACCACTGATAATTATTTCACAATGCAAAATATTTTGCAATACCACTCACATTTCTGGGCTGAAAGTCCAAGCACAGTCATGTATTAATATGTATCTACAGCCATCACTGCACTTAAGTTAAGTGAAGGGAATAGATAATCATTTTTAGATGGAATAATTCAGAATTAGATTCTCCTTTGCATTTAGATAAAATCCCAAGAGCACTGGATGTGCTGTTCGCTTTCATTAAAATCACTGTAAGAATGGCTTTATTTTCAACTCTGCTTTTAGTATTTTAGAAGATAAAGGATAGAGAGGCATCATGGTAGTTCAAACGGGAATTTTTTTAAAGGAACATAAAGTTCTCTTTCTAATGACTGTAAGTAAAATTAATTAACGAAAACATTTTGCCCTTGTTCCTCATCTTAAAAGTGAATTAAAAATATAAAACATTAGTACCTGTTTTTGAGCTTACATTCAGAAAGGAACAAGAAGAGAGG